CTAGCCGCACCCTTCTCCCGATCCCATCTCCCTCCCGCAGCGCCTCCATCTCCCACCTCTGCGCCCCATCGCTCCCCGTGCCCGATCCCCACGCGCAGCCTCGACCTCCCTCGCTACCGCGGCCGCTCCCCTCGATCCCCATCTCCCTGCGGCCTCCTCCTCGCCCTTCCTTCTCCCGCGCCGCCACTGGAGGCCAACTCCGGCGCCCCTGCCTCGTCTCCCATCCTCTCCGCCGCGACGCCTTCCCTCCTCCGTCGCCTGCGGCCGTGCCAGGACCTCCGTCGTTGCCCCTGCAGCCTTCCCTCCTCCGCGTCGTCGCCTCCCCATGGCGCCGCGCCCGGCCTCCCGCGTCCGCCTTCGGCTCCTCTGCTTCACCCGTCCTTTGCTCCGCCTCCATCGCCGGCGACCACGACCAGCCACCGCCCTCCTTGGAGCTCCCATGGCCGCCGCGCCCTGTTCCGGGTCGCCTCCACCTGGATCCGCCCCAACCACCAGGGAGCATAGCCCCCGCACGCTGCTTCTTCGCCTCGCCTCCCTCCGCTCCACCACGCCGGCCTTCGGAGCCGTTGCCGGCGGCCGCACCATCGCCCGTCCATGGTCGCCAGCGCCGTGTGCTCCGCCGTCCCCGCGCCCTGCTGCCTCCTAGGGTGCCGCACGGTCGCCGTTCATCTTCAACCGCGGGACCGCAGTCCTCCTCCAACATCGTCCAGATCCGGATGGCCTCCGCCGCCCTTGCCGTTCCTGGCCGGAACTGACTCCGGTGGCCCGTCCCCGTCGGAGTTGACCTCCACCACAGGCCAGCCCAGCGCCGCATTTTCCTCAGCCTGTTGTTCCATCGCCTCCCTGCTGCTGCCAAACGAGGCCCTGGTGTTCCTTCGTTTTGGACCGACAAGACCCGGACTCCGAACGCCAAGTACCATGACATCCTTGTTCGTCTACGGAACGTGTACATCTACACCGCCAAGACCGGACCGACAAGTACCACGACGTCCGTGAACCACTACCGTCGCCCCGAAGATGTTGGATTCGTCAAGTACCTCTCCGAAAAACGAACGTGTACAACTACTTCCACTACGCCCGAATACCGTGGATGCGACAAGTTCC